TTATATTGGAGTTTCAAAAAAAATATTATCTTATTATCTTATCGAAATTTATTAATTTTTACACTGACCTGACTTGAGATCGGCAAAAATTATTAATTTATAGTGATTATTAATTTATCGAGTATTAATTTATAGAGGTTCTACTGTAGTTATTATTAGTTTACTATAGATAATTAGATACATATTGCATTTGTGATGTTCATCATTCAACTTTCGTTTCATTCGTTATGTACCGTTTTCTCCGCATTAACCATCTTTCTCTCTATTGTTTCGTCTGGTCCGTTTATTGCACACCTTTCATTCCATTGTCATCGTTTGAAAACTAATCTTACGATATTAGTCTTCAACTAGTTTTGCTGCAAAAACGAAGAAACGATAATCAACTAAATAACACCATTCACTATGATGTTTGATAAATGCGAAACTAATCATTAACTAAACTGCAAAAACCTCAAAAATATTTTCACACGGTATTACGGTAAGTTGGTAACGATATTAATATGAATTATGCTTCCATCGTTAAAATATGTTAATTAACGTAAACTTAATCCCCCTTCCGCTAATATTTTGCTTTGGCGTTTACAACCTAATTAAACAATAGTTACAAATATTGACATATTGTATTCAAATACAAAAAATGTAGAAACTAAAGCAACCGGATCCGGATCCTAAATTTACTTTTAGTTGGGTTGCCTTGAAGTTGATCTACATATCGTCAATATGAAGATAAAACATACCTTTATACGGTTGGCTTAACCGATACCTGATTTGAATCTAAAAATTAGATGCTATATAAATAGTATATGATTTATATTTGTATGTACGCCGTAATATATTATCAAATGTTTACGTACGGGTCAAAGATCCTTAATTTCTTGGTTATAAAAGAAAAAGAAAAAAACATATAACAAAAGGCCCCATATATATATGAATAAACATTGACTTAATTCTCCATATGATATTATTCCAATTAAAGTAGCCAACATAGTAGAAAGACTATGACACGGGCTTTAGGGTTTTATGCTTCAAAAGTAGTCCCAAAAGCTATATGGAGAGTATGAGGTCATAATATTCACACACACATATATAGAACATACGTATGTGGATATTGTATACATAGACTATGGTACGAGAAGGCGCATGGCAAGACAACGTGAGAGTGTGCATGTACTGTTCTCTCCACGTGTAAATCGTGAGCTGCGACCAACTTCCATGAGGTTGGCTCACGTGCGGGCCATCACATGCCACGTTGTACCAACTTGTGGTCATAACCGTGGCCATGTCACATTTGCACTCTCTTAGCTTTTCACAAAGGGCAAAGAAACCAAAAGATGTCCTAGATGGAGAGAAACTAAAGTTACCACTAGAATATTAATTTTTTCTTTTGATATTTCAATTGTCGTTTTATGTCTCTAAGCATGCTTTTTTCTCTTATGTCTATAAGCATGTTTTTAATTAATTCAACGTGGCGCCTTAATTATCTCTAAATAATGTGTATTTTTGTTTGTCAGCAAAACATGTGTCTATGGCTATGGGTGCATTGACGTCATATCAAGACATAAATCAGTATAATCAAGAAAATCTTAGATGAGAATTGAGTCAACGTTCGTCCAGCTATATGATACAATGGGTTTGGCCTCTTTCCATTCTTAAAATTTTCTTATACATCCGTCAGTTCACATATCCTTAAACCGTGAAACGTTTTGATATTTCATTGCTAAACTGAGAATGATTAGATACTTACAGTCTAGCTAATTGTATTTATGTTTTTACAGTTGATTACATCTTACCTTCTTGATATAAAATTCTTAATAATAATAGATTTGACATTACTAGAATCTTGTAATCACGTGTGGGAATATATATATTTATTTTCTAAAACGTTCAAAAATAACCCCACAAAATGCCCCAATGTCGCTGTATTTGATTATTATTCTTGAGAATATATGAAAGATGAAAACACAAAGGTAAACCTAGAAATGCTATAAATTGAGGGCAGTTCATGAGCTCTATTCTGCAACCAGTACTAAAAATCCACTAGTAAATCAGAAACACACAAAACCCTAATTCAAAAATGGCAGTAATGAGTCACAACAACGCAGAAGGCAGGATATATGAGTCAACTCGGACTCGGCCGATTCCTTACTTACAAACTGGTGGCCAAGAGACCGGAGGAGACGATGACGACGACGACTGTGACGTGGCTCCGGCCGCTTGATCATGCACATTTTTTCGTATGCTATTTTAAACTCTAATAACAGTCACTTAATGAAGTAGTAATTGTGCGTCTTGTCTTAGAACCACACACACACATATATTAAGCTGAAGCACTAGAAAGTGCCTGTATTTATCCATGTCGTAAGCAGGGCTTTTAGTACTTATTACATAAGCAACATTTTTGACTTTGGAGTGTTGAGAGACTTAGTTTTAAGTAGTAGAATATAATGTATCGTATGTCAATTACTTATGAATGATGAAATAATATAACGTTATTCACACAAGATTTGTGGTTATAATATATATATATATATATACTTTTATGTGTATGTGTGCAAACTACACATAATATCTATTTATTTGTTTATGTAATACATTTTTCATCTTCCTTTGCTCATCAGCCTTTTGTCGTCTCTCTACCTCTTAGGACCACTTACAGCAATTTTTACTAAATTAATATATCTATATGACTAGAATGTGAGGTATACTAAGAAAACAGTTGTTACAAATATTTGGACTTGTATACTTAAATTTCAAGAAAAAAATACAATTGGTATTAATCTAAATATATAAGAATAACATTGGCAATTTCTTGCACAGCTGTTAAAGCCAGTGACCGATAAGATAAAAAAAAAAAAAAAAAGGCTTCTAGTTTGTGGCGCACCACTTGGCTCATCAATCAGTCGATCTCTCGGTGAAGTAATTGATCAAACAGCTAGTCCAACATCAGATGTTGATCACAACTCACAAGCATCCAGCACCACTATGTTTTTTTCCCAATTTGTAAGTACATTTATGGATGTATATATATATATATACGTATCTGCGCATATACATTAGGACATACTATAAACTTTTGAACTCGTTTTAAAACATTTAAACTCGTTTTGTAAGTACGTTTATGTTTTTTTCCAATTTGCAAGTATATTTATGGATATATATATATGTGTGTGTATGTGTATGTATGTACACATATACAATAGGACATACTATAAACTTTTGAACTCGTTTCGCCTAAACTTTTGAATGATATATATATGTGTAATGTGTGTGTGTGTATGTACGTATGTGCACTGTGCACATATACAATAGAACATACTAAACTCGTTTTGCCTAAACTTTTGAATGATATATACATGTGTGTGTGTGTATGTAACTATGTATGTACGTATGTGCAAAGCACTGATCAAACAAAGTAGGATATGTGATATTTGCTTTGGGTAGATCGATATTGGTGAACCTTTTGTTTTCAGGGCTCACGCCACAGTTCAAAGTCAAACCTTTTGTTTCACATCCCATATTAACTTGACATCTTCACTCAATAGGCTGGGAAGTGGACGAGAAGGATGAAACCTGAGCACATCTTTAATCAATAACGGCTTTTAGGTATTTCATATTCTCAACTTCTTCTTCTTTTATGTTTGAACTATATATGCGGTATAGTATTTTCATATATTCGAGATGTCTAATCAGTTCCGTCATTGTTTCTAATAGAGTTGACGTAATTTGAAAGTTACGTGTCATTGCTAAAAAAGTTGCATATGGTTATTATGGTTCTAATAATATCTTAAATCTTGAGACTCATAAAAAAACTATAGATGCAATGGTCTAACATTGCTTGGTAGATTATAAATTTATAATAATAAGGAGCTCGCTCAGATTTCTAATGACAAAGAACATCTTTCTCCAGTTTCTTAATCATAAGTTCATAACCTTTACCTCTTCTTATCTTACCTTATGAAAGGATCCAACAATTTTGTTTGTGAGCAGATTCAGAATGTATACCCTCTTCATCCAAAATTAGATTCAGGATTAATTGAAAAATATACATAATAATATTAAAACTATACATAAAAACCCAAAAGATAAACTTTGTGTTTAGAGATTTTTACTATAATCTGTTTTAATCTTTGTGTTTAGAGATTGTTACTATACTGTAATTTGTCTTTAAAAATGTGTGTTACAGCTTTCTACTATGCTCCGATTGGTAACACAATAAAACTGTGGAATTGCAGAAAAAATTAAGCTGTGGAATGGTGGAATGCAGAATAGCGGAATAATTATATGATTTGATAAATTATGGTGGAACGACAGAAAATATACCAAATTAGATTGTTAATCTTTGTGTTTAGAGATTGTTAAATGATATGATTGGATAAATTATGTAGAATGGCGGAATGGTGGAATGACAGAAAATATACAAAATTAATTTTTCATAATAATTTATTTTATATATAATTTGATATAATAAAAATAAAAATATTAATTATTATAAAAAACATAATTTTAATATAATTAAAAAAATAAAACTTTTTTGTAATTATTTATTTACTATAAAATATATAAATATATAACAAAATTTAATCTACAGATATAATCTGATCATTATATAAATATATGTAGTATAAATATATTTATTCAAATAATAAAATATAATTAATTATATAATTGAATGCTATAAAATATTCCGCAAATAAGCTATTTGAAACACACTTTTCTACTTAATCAAATTTTCTTTGTATTTTTTGTAAGTATTTCCGCTATTCTGCAGAACTCGAGTTTTGGCGTTTTTCTGCATTGGCAAAATTCTTATGGAATTGAATATAACCTGTATTAAAATGGACAGGTGTGTTTTAAATTCTGAAACGACGATGCAGCTGAAAGAAACCCTACTCACTCAACTCACTTTGGGCCTACAATAATGATTATCGACTTGGGCCTACAATAATGATTATGAAGAAAGGCCCAAGTGAGCTGAGTGAGTAGGGTTTTCTTCTTTCAGCTCATCGTTCTCGTTCGTCTCTCTCCCTTTTGTAATCTCCCCTGTCCTTGATTCCCAGAAAACCTTGTCTGAAACAGAGATGGGGAAAAGAAGTATCAGCGGGAGCTTTCCTCGTCGGAGCTTAACGAATATAGTTCTAGAATTATGTGGGAAGGGATTAACGGTGGAGGAGATCGCTGACGACCTCCGTTCCAAGCACCGTGAATGGGCTCGTTGGAAACGCCAGATCCTGATCATCAAAGTTAAAAAGATCTTCAATTCCACGAAAGAGGAAGAGGGTATTAATGTAAGTAGGAAGAAACAGAGGCGAGATGATGATCTCGAACAGAGGAATTCGGATTTATGCGAATCATCATCACCTTCTTCTTCTTCCACATCCGGAAATGTATTGACATCGGACGATAATACAAACTTCGACATCACCAGTGAAAGTCTGCTCAATTCTTACTCTAATAAATCCAAGACTCCATTGAAGAAGAAAGCTGCGTCAAGTGAAGAAGGAAGTAAGGTTTATGATGTAGAGGTTAAAGGACCGACCTTTAAGGACTTGGGTGGGTTAAAGTCTGTTTTGGATGAGCTCATGTTTGAAGTGAAACTCCCTCTCTTGTGTCCTGACATTGTACAAGGCATTGGTATGAAACCACTCTCTGGGATACTACTTCACGGTCCTCCTGGTTGTGGCAAGTCCACACTTGCTTGTGCCATCGCCAACGAAGCTGGTGTACCCTTTTATATGCTCTCTGCTGCTGAATTGGTTTCTGGTGTTTCTGGTATTGTGAGCTCTTTCTTTCTTTCTTTCTCACACATTTTACATTTGTATTGCTTTGTTTATGCCAAGTCTTTGATATTGAATTGGCATTTCCCTTGTTTGTTCTAGGTGGATCAGAAGAGAATATCAGAGAGCTCTTCTCTAAAGCCTATAGAACTGCACCTTCTATTATATTTATCGATGAGATCGACGCGATTGCCTCAAAGAGGGAGAATCAGCAAAAGGGCATGGACACGCGTATCGTGACGCAGTTACTGAATTGTATGGATGAGAAGTATATGCTCTTGAAGCAAAAAGAGAGCAGAGCTTCCTCCGATGACATGAGTTCTAAGCCTGGACATGTGATTGTAATCGGAGCTACAAACAGGCCTGACGCTCTTGATCCGGCATTGAGGAGATCTTTGCGGTTTGATAAGGAGATCTGTCTCGATGTGCCAGATGAGGAGGCTAGGGAAGAGATTTTCTCTTTGATCACACGAAACCTTTCACTGGAGAGCACCTTGGACTGTTCCAAGATTGCTCGTCTGACTTCCGGATTCGTTGGTGCTGATTTCGAAGTTTTGGCCAAGAAGGCTGGGATGGTGGCGGCAAAGAAGATTATAAATTCAAGAAACTCGCAGCTTTCTTCCGATATTGATTCTTTGATGAGGCAAGAATTGTCAGAGGAAGAGAGGAAGAAACTCTTTGTCACTACCTCAGATTTCGAGGAAGCATTGAAAGATATGCAACCTTCTTTAACTAGAGAAGGTTTCTCTACTATCCCTAATGTAACGTGGGATAATATTGGTGGACTTGATCATCTAAGGGAGGAGTTCTACCATCATGTGATTCTGCCATTAAAATTTCCTGAAGAATGCAAGGTAAGATCAGTGACTTATATCAAACTCTAGTGGAAGCAATGTTTATGACTTAGATGTGGTTCCAAGAAACAATAATGATGGATGTTTCATATTCTTCTTTTCAGGGATTTGAGTTTTGTTTAGAGACGGGTTTTTTGCTCTTTGGACCACCAGGTTGTGGTAAGACTTTAGTTGCACAGGCGGTTGCTAATGAGGCAGGAGCCAACTTTATCCATGTCGAGGTTTGTTTGGTTACCATATTTTCTTACTGTGATTTCATATGTGTTCTAGTAAAAACCTTTGAATTTTGATCTTCTTTTTGTTCCATGTATTGTTTGATGATGTGTAGGGTCCAGAGCTTCTGAGCAAATATGTTGGAGAAACCGAGAAGGCTATTAGGGAGTTGTTCAGTCGTGCCAGGATGTGCTCTCCATGCATTGTCTTCTTTGATGAGGTCAGTGTTTCATGTGACAAAAGAGTAACGAATAGTAAAAGCCAAAGGCTCCTTTGTTGATACCAAATATATATGCCAAAATATTGTAGGTGGATGCTTTAACAACAAAACGTGGGGAGCAAGGTGCTTGGGTTGTTGAACGACCTTTGAATCAGGTGATTAGTTTTGAACCTCATTCTCAATTACTGTACTGAAACATCATGTCTGAATGCGAACTGATGATTTGCTATTTGACAGTTACTCGTTGAATTGAGTGGCGGAAAAAAACGAGACGGTGTAATTGTGATTGCTGCTACAAACAGGTTAGGGTTCTTTGTTCTGATCTGTTGGTGTTCGTTTGATTATTGTCACATTTTATTCAACTCTCTTTGTACATTCTTTTGATGGACTACTAGGCCTGACATGATGGACCCGGCTGTTCAAAGGGCAGGCAGGTTTGGGAGACATATCTATGTACCGCTCCCAAACTCGGTACAGCGACATTCGATTCTGAAATCTCTGGTGAGGGATGTTAGAATTGACCCGAGTGTTGATTTGAGTGCCATAGCGAGGATGGAGAGTTGTGAGAATCGTAGTGGAGCTGATCTCAAAGCTTTGGTGAAACAAGCGGGTTATGCAGCTTTTAGAGATACAAACTCAGGCAGTAATGAGCGTACAATCAAGATGGTTCATTTTGAGCAAGCTTTCACTAATCTCAAACCGTCTCTCACGAATCAGGTTAGTGTTTTTGTCTTGGAAACCAAGGCTACTTCTTTGTTGTATATGATGACTCTTTGACAATACAGATAGTTTTTTGCTAACACGAATACTTTTGTTTGCAGCAAGTACGGGAATACGAGAACATATTCAGAGACTTTGAACGCGGCAAGTGAAAGAGTTATGGATTGTCGACATACCCTTTCTTTGTCTAATTGTCGCCAGCAACAATCTAGAGTTAGGGATTGTTTTTCTGTATTTACAAGACAAATACATTAACAGATTTGGGGATGTATTGGATTTCAGTTTATTTTGGAAGAGTTGTATTGTTTGTTTGTTTGAAATGCCAATGTTATTCCGTGAACCGCATGCCAGGGATACTCTTTAGGGTTAGGGTTAGATCTGAGCAAACAAGTTGAGAGTTACACTTGTCTTTATAAATTATAATCAAATGAATTAGTCTCATCTCTTAATTATAAAGACAAAAGTTAGAAGCCTAGTAAGAAACGGCTGAACGCGAAAGAAACATAAAAACCAACTAGGAAAGACAAAACCAAACAGAATTCGAGAAAACGCAAAGTAGAACCAGACTTGGAGGACACGTGATGAAAACACCTAAAGATGTGTTTCACTAAAAGTGTAAAGATGCGCAGCATCACGATGTGTGTTGGGCGGTCCATGTGGGACCGTACGACGAAACAGCGAGACTCGATCCTCCACCTCCATAGTTTCGAGAGAGTCTTGAGTCGGATTAGTTGTTTCACCGCAAGTCTCAAGAAGATTTCCTCTATGACATCGTCTGGTAGTGATGGTGATGCAGTCGCTTCCAGCTGTTTCTTCTTTTGAATGAATGAATAAATGTCGCCTCTTGTTATATATATCTCGTTTTGTATTAGAAATTTTAGAGTATAGTTTAAAATTGGTTAAATATCCAGGCCTTTCTTTTTGGTAATGTTATTTTAAATTTTACCCCAAAAGTTTTTAAAAGATGTAAAATGATACCAGATTTTTCTAATAGTAATTATTATTTTTGGCAGCAAATCTTGCCTACTATTAAAAGAAAAGCTAGGAATGAGGATTACTACAATTTTGATTTAGATATAAGCTATATCGTCTAATAAAATCACTACAAGTCACCTTTATCATTTACTATGTTTAATTATTTATACTCTCTCTAATTCACAAAGAATGTCATTCTGATATTTTTCACACAAATTAAGAAAAACATGCAAATATCTATTGTGCTCTTTATTAATACACTAAAATAATTTATCTCTCTAATTAATAAGCTAAAATGATATAGATAAAACTGAGATTTAGTTTTAAAAACTGCATTGAAAATCAAAAATAACACTCTTTGTGAAATAAAAATAAAATGTCAAAATGACACTTATTTTGAAATGAAGGAAATATTAATCTATTTTTGAAATAGTATCATTAGTCAATATTAGCTACTTTCAGCGATTTTAATCAAAAATTTCAGATGATTAATTATTGTGTTATTTTAGCTTTGAGTGACATAAGTTTGGGTACAAGCAAATTCGGGAGAGTTCCAATGTGAGAACAATATCTTCTTTAAAAATGTCCTATCAAGAGATGAAAGATGAATAATTGTCCATTATATCTTACCTACACCATCATGTTTTCCCATTGAAAAGTGAAATCCAATCTTTGTTAGAAACTTGCAAGGTTCACTTTTCTCTTGTGCAGTGAAATAATTACATTTACATATATGTTCCAATGTAGGCATACTGATAAGATGTATGTTATTAAGATTACATTTACATTCATCGTACATTGGTTTATACTTCCATGATATTTATTTCTCAATCATATACAAGCTGATGCAACCAATTATTGATTTTTCTTCAGTGATTCCCATTTCATCATATCTTGGTTGCATCAGCTATCCTTTTGAAATAATTTGCAACACTTCCATAAAATCATGAATGTACTTCGAGTTGTACATGTATAATTTGATCACATCTATTTTAAATAAATAAAAAAAAACATTTCGCAAGAATATACACAGAAATGAAACTAAAATTGTGAATGAGTAAACCAAGTGCAATTAGCATATGGTTGAATCGTGTCCTTAACCGAAGTTACCATATTGTCTAATGTCTATGGCCTGAGGCCCAAAACATCATTTTGTCATTTTAGTTGTCACGTGCGAAGCCATCGTCTTCTTCTTCTTCAATCATCTTCTCCTTCAATAAACCCTACTTTTGGGGGTCTCTGCACACAGTTTGTAGACTCTCAGATCCGATCCTAGCTCCCAGTTTAGCCGGAGCTTCTGCTCCTAGGCGAAGTCGTGACCTCATGACATCGAAATTTATGAAACTCGGTGGCCAATTTATCGACAAATTAAAACGTGTGACGACCTTGCCTGCTCACCATACCGATTTGGTCCAAAGGGTTTCGACTTTGAAAAACGAGCTATTAGCGATAGGTGATAATAAGGAGAAGTTCGAGAGCGTTTTGGATCAGAAAGGGCAGTGGTTGTTTAGAAGCTATCGTGATGGTGCTGGGATCGTCGAGCTTATGGATCAACTCTTTCCTCGTCCTTCCTTAGCTCTTCAGGTTTTCATTTCATCTTTCATATTTTCTTCAAAAAAAGTTCGAATCTTTCATTTGCCCTCTCTCTACTATTTCATTATTTGATCGATTTTGTGTGCAAGAAAGAAACTTCATTGAGTTAAACCAGAAAGTTATAAACTGAATCTAAGTTTCTTTACTTTAGGTTTTAGATTGGAGGAGAAGACAATTGGATTGTTGTATCCCTTTGACATCGGAGGAGTACGCAAAAGGAATCAAAGTCGCCGGTCGAGCTAAAGACGTAAACTTTGCATTCGATCTCTTCAACGAGGCTGCTACGAAACGAAACCAAACAACTTCAGTTTACAATGCTTTGATGAGTGCTTACATGTACAACGGGCTTGCCGTGGAATGTCAGTCACTTTTCAGAGATTTCAGTAGGCAGACGCATTGTGCTCCCACCATTGTGACCTATAACATTCTGATATCGGTCTATGGCCGGCTTCTGATGGTAAAGAACATGGAAGCAGCTTTCGAGGAGATTAAAAAACGAAAGCTTTCTCCGAACTCGGGAACTTACAACTCTCTGATCGCTGGTTATTTGACTGCCTGGAATTGGGATAAAATGGAAGCTACTTTCAGAGAAATGAAGACTGGTCCCGTTGAGCCTGACACAGAGACGTATCTGCTAATGCTTCGGGGTTATGCAAACTCGGGGAATTTGAATAAGATGGAAGAGATGTATGAGTCGATTAAAGATCACGTTGGTGTAGACAGAGGTCCTTTGGTCAGAGCCATGATCTGTGCATATTGTAAGAAAGCTGTTGAAGGTAGAGTCGAAAAGATTGAGAATTTGCTGAGTCTTCTCTCTGGGGAAGAGTATTTTCCTTGGTTGAATGTTCTTTTGATTCGTCTGTATGCTCAAGAAGACGTTCTGGAGGCAATGGAGAGGAAAATCGACGAGGCGTTTGAGCATAACACATGCGTTAACAAATCGAGTATCATGCGGGCGATCACTGCGGCTTACTTCAGGTGTAACGAAGTCGACAATCTTGTTAATTTCGTCAAGCGTGCCGAGTCTGCTGGCTGGAAACTATGCAGGTCTCTCTACCACTGTAAGATAATGATGTACGGCTCCCAAAAACGCTTTGAAGAGATGGAAGGTGTTGTAAATGAGATGGGGGAGACTAACTATGGCCTTGTAACTAAAACGTTTGCAATTATGTATAAGGCTTACAAAAGGCATGGAATGGAGTCAAATGCTGAGAAAGTGATGGGGAAGATGCTGAAACATGGGTGTCTATGTGTTCCGAAAACACATCGAGCTCAATCGGCTTTAGATGCGCCTCAATTTGCGTAATTCTGATTTGTTCAGTGTCTTTTTCAAATGTGAGCGTACTGGCTATACAGAGGATGAAAAGGTTAGTGCTGTTTCTGCCTGTGCTTTGATGGTGACTTACAATGAGCCATGATGAAAGTTTGCTGGCTAGGCTTCCATAATCCGACACTGGAGTTTTGGGATGAGACCAGAGCACCTTTATTATCCCATCATGAGTGACTAAGTCATCATTATCTAGCCATAGTTGTACATGTTAGCGGCAAGAGTTTGAAGTTTGCATGGCAGATTTTGAACATGTTGGTGGATCAGAAGCTCAGTAAAACAAAATCTCAGTGAGCCATGAAGAACAGGGTCTGCATTTTCTTCTTTCTTGAGAAAATGAAAGCTCTGCCAAGTGAAGTTATTACCTTGAGAAACCTGACCGATGTTGCAGCGTGTTACTCTTTCTGCCCAGATCTCCCCGGGTCCATTTTCGATTGCTGTACGTTAATATTTTTTTGGTTGTTAGGCTATCAATACTCTTAAATACACATGTGCTCTGTTGTTTTGCATTGAGCTATGTTTGTAATTTAAAGGAAAACAGATAGCTCAGCCACACTGATGTTTCAGTATAGTGGGGAGTGGGGACCTGATATGCTAATTTACAACATATTCAGAAGTTCTCCCAATGAATAAGCTAAACTTGTTTTCTTTTGATCCATTCTTTTATACAATAGACAATGAAGAAGAAAGACAGCTAAAAACAGAGCATTCCATTAATGTTTCTGATTCAGTTAGTTTTTAACTTTTAGCTTTTAAGCAACACTGAAGGAAGTAGCAGCATTCTCGACGAATTTTCTAGCTCCTTTGAACCACCTTTTGTTTCCTGCTTGTGCTTTGCAGATGTAAAGCTTTCCACCATTCACAGTGGCTGTGATCAACTGATGCTTCCCACCTTCGTCTCCATCAGCTGTTCTTGTCAAAACCGACAAGTAATAGTACTTTTTCCCACCAATCTCTTGTGTAGATGTCTCCAGAATGTTTGCAGTCGCTACTGCATTTGCATCAAACCCTCCCTGCACAAAAAAAAAAAAAAAAAATCGGTAACAACACTCTTGAGCTTTTTCTTCTTGTGCACTAATTGGATAACCTCGAGTCCTCAGAAAGGGAAATTACCTCAGAGGCGGTTTCTACGAAGTAAGCTTGCTTTCCAAGGAGATAATTGACCTGCAGAGACATTATCATTAGTTATGGCGATTCTCAGCTGATTTGGACTTTCTGATATGGGAACAGAGCTGATGAAACCTGAGAAAGGAACTGTTCGGGAGAACCGTAATCAGTGATGGATTTTTTGTCTGTAGGAGTGATCATGACAGAGACATTACTAGTGGCGTCAAAGTTGTCTTCGAACCTTAGGACTTGTCCTGGATACTCAACTTCTTTGCTTGGGTTCCACTTCGATGGGATCTCGATTTTGAATCCTTCTCCACTATACGGCATGAAGTCTGTGTTGGTCTTTGGCTTCCCAAATACATTTGCTGCAACATATATACAACGAACATTGCTTCAAGATTCTCATTGGTTGTAGAGAGAGAGAGAGAGAGAGGGAGGGTTTTTGTTAGGTGGGGATCGTACCGGCTTCACCATAAGCAGCATCAGCAGGAGAGACTTTGGATCCGACGGCGGCAGCACCGACGAGGAAAGTGAGTGCAAGACGGCGGGATACGGCGGAGTTATCGCCTTCCTGAGACTCTTGTTGAGCTCTGCATACTAAATGGACGGGTCTGGAGAACGACACGTGGCGATTCGACGAGGAGGAGGAAGGTGATCGTGTGGCGGAGGAGGTGAGTGCACTGTGGTGCAAGAAGCACGCGCTGTAGGACATTCTCTTTCTCTCTTTCTTGTTTCAACCTGTAGCATATAGTCAAGACCAAAGTGATCAGAGTGTTTTTATAGTATGGAGTTGATGTAGAGAGTGTTCATTGGCTCCTTTTGGATTTTGGATTTTGTGGCATCCTCTGTTTTGATGTCGCGATACTGTTGTATTGGTGCTTCATCGGGCCACGTGGCAGTGATGAATTTCTTATACTATGATATGATCTCACTCGAGGCAAATGAAGCTCCTAGAAGTCTTTGAGAAACAGCAATAATACTCTAGAAACTGTCACAACATGAAGCCGGTTAAAAGTCCGGTTCATGATTACCAAAATACAATGGAGGAACCATCCGACATAGCATAGTTGTTTAATATACACATCAATTTCTTTGCCTCCGTGGGACCCAAACCAAAACCTGAGCTCTTCATGCATTTCACTTCTGTTCTGCTTTGTCTTCGCGTTGCCTTTTATGGAGATCTGTCTTTGGAACATACTTCTTACCGGAATCCGAGTTGTTGGCTGATCTAGTCTTGCTTTTCTTACTGCTTTGATGATGCTTATTAGCCATTGATGCAGCAGCTGCTACTCTTGGAGCTGTGTTTGGTTGCTGATTCCCATATACCTGATCACAAGGCATATTGTTCTCTTTCTTGTGACCTGAACCCGACCCGTTGGCTGATTTTTGCTTTGACTGCTTAGCAGTAGATGCAGCTTCAGGTTGGTGAATGTGATTAACAAACATTTTCTCTTTCCTCTTACCCGAATCAGCATTGTTGGCTGGTTTGGGCTTTCTCTGCTTATTGTTCTGCTGCTTAGGCATTGGTGCAGCTTCTGTTGGAGACGTGTTGAATTCATGGTGGCGATTCCTATTCGCCTGGCTAGAAGAAGGCTTGTTCTCTTTCAGACTCAGAGACCAAAAGAGCGAGTTGAGGAAAGAATTTGGTTTCTCTTCCCATCCTCCGGTTTCATACCTCGAAGGTTTCGTCCCCATAGACTCCGGTGAAGATGAAAGTCCCGCGTGACCATCATATGAGAGTATACATGTTATTGCATACATAGAAGCTCCGAGATGAGGCGGCAAATTTTCCCGTGGATGTCTCACCTACAAAAATGCAAATGAACAGTTGGATATTCAAATCAAAATCAAATAAAGAACCCTTCACGTATGGAGTGAGTTTAAGCATATCGGATTTATAAAATAACCTTGAACAAAATGGATGCCGTTAGTCGTTCCCGCAAAATGTACATTTGAGCAACTTCAAGAGCTGTGGTTTTGAAAGGAAGCCAACGATCAACTACCAATTTCACTGAATTTTCAGGTGAAGACATCACTTTCTGTCCACGCCTACTCTCTGCTTTATGTATATCCATCCCATCTTCATTACTATTATCTCCTTCTTCTTCTTCTGTTTCTTCATCATCTTCTTCTTCCTCGTCATCACATTCATCAGCATCATTGCTCTCTGTAGGAGCAACAGCTATCTCTGTTGAGACCAGTAACAAAGGAAGGACACGAGCAACAGTACAGTTTCTAATATGCATGCCTCCATCTCCACGTGTGATCTCATCGAATACAACTAAAGATTCATCATACTTCCTTGATGACAAGTTGAAGTTGTTTGAGAGCGAATGCACACGAACTTTGGCACCACTAGCAGTCTCTACTAAAGATCTCCGATTATTACCAAAAGATGGGCACAATTTCCCGACCATAGGATACAATCCTACTGCTAGGACAGCACGGAGTATACCAGGATCACGCGAATTCTGGCTACAGCTTGAGATGTCACCAGGAATAATCCCGTGTCTTTTAAGCTCCGACTCAAGTTGGCTACGCATTTGATCCAACATCTTCATAGCGCTCGGGGAGACAAAGTACTGAGAGCAGAACTCTGCCGAAAGACCTCTTTCTTTTGCGTTTTTCCAGCACTCAAAGGCAGCAACAACCGCTAAGTGATCACTGTCACCTCCACAGAGCGACGCGAGTTCAAGTTTTGCAGCAGCGGCTTTCTGTCTTTCAACTGGCGACATAGGCATTGTAAAAGGTTCTTTGTAGTCGGCTGCACATGCCAGAGTAAGTGCAGGATCCAGACAGTTTACTAATACAGCGAAGAAAAGCATTTTGCTTATCAGAGGATGAACTGGGAGATGACCAAATTTCTCTCCAAGTTCTGTCAGCTCTTCCTCAGGTGTCAGAGCCCCAATGTCCTGTAGGATGCTCAAGGCGTTTGCAATGCTTTGATCAACAGGCGGGTCCAACAATTTCTGAAGGAAATCATTTGTTTTACAGTTTGGATCGAGTATCTTAACCTGAAATAAGATCAGAGTGCAATGATCAGTAATGCACGAATGGATCACCTCACAAAGCCAATTGCTATTAACAACAAAACGAATGAAATGAGCAGTACCTGTAAGCAGAGTTCTTCTACAGGCATCCTCTTGATTTCAGGAACTTTAAAATCTGGCATAGAGGCTGCCCTAAGTCTGGAATAGAGATGATAACAAATCCCAGGCTGGCAACGGCCTGCTCGACCTTCACGCTGTTTTGCATTTGCTTTAGATACCCAAGAAGATTGGAGCGTTGAAACATTATTGTAAGGATCATAGCTCTTTTCCTTCATCCGGCCACTATCTATCACATAAACCACATCATCAATGGTAACCGCTGATTCAGCGATATTTGTAGCAAGTACAATCTTGCGACAACCTCGAGGGGGACGAGTAAAAACCTTCTTCTGTTCCCCTGCTGGAACCATCGAGTGAAGACATATAATGTCGAATTTAGCTTTATCTGCGAAAAAAGGATTATCGAGTAGTTTCTGTCTGGTTTTATTTATATCATCCCATCCAGGTAGAAAAACAAGAATGGCGCCATCTTCTGAATCACCACATATTTTCCTCATTAGCTGCTGTATAAGACTCACATCGACCTGCTCTGGGTTGATTGTCGCCATGTACTTATCAAGCAACTGTTGTGCTTGATGAGAATTAGACTGAGAGCTTTCTGCATGCTCCCTGATGATTTGAGCAGCTTCTAGTTGATTCTCTGTTTCGGCCAATTCTAATGCTGTCATACCATCTTTAGACTTTAAGTTCCAGTCTGCGCCAAATGAGAGTAGCATGCAGACATCGCTGATCCTGCCCTTTCCAGCAAAGACCATTAGTGGTGTTAGCAAGGTTGATTGGTGCTGATAATTGTAGATCTCCGGACTTCCTCGAGAAGAAACTAGATCTAAGAGGGTATCGAACTCATCATTTGTCCAAGCCAAGATGATTGCTTCATCTAAAGCAAGTTTATCTTCATCCGTCAAATCAAGCTTCTTGTCTGGTATACTCAAGTTGGCAGAGCTTAGATGATTATTTCCACCAGATTTCAAAATAGAGAGCACATCCTCCAAATATAAAGTTCTCACCTGTAGACACAAAGCAAGGAGTTACTCTCGAGCACAACCATTTCCAGGTTTGAGAATGAGAGAAAGAGATTAAAAAAAAGAGAAATTAACTGGATAAGTGAATCCAGGGACACGGACAATCGGGCAACCTCCAAAATATCCAGAAAACCTCTCAGCATCAAGCGTAGCACTCATTAGAATCTGTTGGTCCATAAATTTTCAAAAAATCAGCTAAATAAAACTGTACTCAAGCCAATACTAAAAGACATTTTTACCAAGTCACCAAGTCCAGCTATCTCAGGCCATGTACACATTTTGTCGGAGTTCACTTGTCCTCAGTGAACTTCCGACAAAGTAACTTTCTTTGAAACTTCTAAGAACGTTACTTCACAAAAGAAAAAAATAACAGAAAGATTAACTAACCAGACGGAGATGCGGATTTGATGGCAGCAAGTCCCTGCAAATCATTGAAAAATTAAAATTGAGTTTTGTCATCCACTCGAATAAAATGAAATACTATCGCCTTTCATGGCTTGCATCTTTAGAAAAAGTTAAATACATGCGCACCAGTATGGCATATCAATTATGGTGAGTAACAAGCCTTAACAACAATTTCTTAGGTCACGCAGAATAGATTTGGTTGATACAAAAATTTGATAGGTTGAGATGCTTAGCGTTTGGGAAGGCTAGGAAGTCTACCTTATAATTGCCAACATGAAATCGGAGTAGCAATCCCTTTCATGGATCTCATCCTACAAAGTAGCATTCAGGTCACTGATTAATGTAAACAGCCACAGAATCATATTTAAAGGCAAGGTACAAAGCAGATAATCTGAGATGACATACAATAACAAGAAAAAAAAACCCATTATTTTTTCAAGCACTTTAATTGTCCGAGGAACCCTAGCATATATATATATATATATGAAACACATACTTGATGAACGCAAGATAGTGGATCAAATAAGATGTTAATTACCACAATGATGTGAGTTATGTCGGAAACGTAGCTAACAGAGCCTTTGCCTACAAGCACTCTCAGGAGAATGCCATTCGTGCAGAAAACAACTGATGACTGCCTTCCACCTTTGCTTTGAAGTCGAACCTGAAATTGCAACATAGAGTCAACGGGGCACTTCTCTAAGATACTGAAACACAACAACCTTTCATGTACAAACACAACTATTATTTACCTTGTAACCAATGTTTTCTCCAATGCTTTCACCTCTTTCACACGATATTCTTTCAGAAACTTCAGAATAGGAACAAAAAACATTAAGCCAGGGGTTTGCAGTACACAGCATACATGTGAAGTAAACTCGCAATTTCAAAAGATTAGCGATATCATGTAGCTGAATAAGAAAAAAATATCAACCTGACATAGCGGAGATACGACGTGGTTGAGTGCAAACAATTTTGCAACTTTCTCTTTTGCTTGACCACATATGGTCTAAAAGATATTGAGGAACCTAAAACATCAACAATGGAGATGCCTGAGAATCCTCTCGAAAATGAAAAGCTTGATGGCAATTACAAATTTCAAACACTTTACATGGCCAATATCACACTGAGTAAAACCTTATAACACAACAAACTTTCTCTAAAATTTATAGGTAACATAAATATGTAGCCCTGGACAAGAAAGTTAACAGCCTGGCCCTCGAATCTAAGGGGTGAATAACTAAAATCGTTAAAAAGGAGACGGTTCTACTAAGATACAAAAAAACAAGGAGTTTACAAATACCTGAGTAGTTTTCCCGCATCCAGTTTCACCAGAAATGAGTATAACCTGCATTTAGGATAAGAATTTATAATGAGTTCTCTTTCAAGCAGTGGAAATCACCAGTGGGAAGCAATTCTGAAAAAGAAAAAAACTCACAGAACCTGATTGGATTCTACTGCAGATGTAATTGCGTCTCTAAATGATGTGATGGGAAGCTTTGACCGCAGCTTAGAGATCTGTAACATGAATCAATAAAAACAATTTCCTTTTACTTTCTGCTCAATCTGTAATCTGGATATGAAAATCAATGTTACAGTCCTAAGAGCATCTCAAAAACTGAGAATTCCTAACCTCCAGAAGAGCTTTATCTTTCCTAAGCTTAGAACTCAAAGATGCCACCTTTTCAAGTATCTCGTCACCGCTAATCTGTGGTTTCCGGAAAAAGTCATCTCTCCATTGCCCTTGTTTACCGGATTTCCCTGAGTACTTGTTGAATGATGTTGCAGCTGTATCTCCGTCACAAGGTGGGTAGTGAGTAAACAACTCCTCCAGAATAGCTTCAGCCTCTGGCGGAAACGACACGCATTTGAGCTTCTCTCTATTTGATCTCTCCTTAGATTCTTTGTTCTTTCCATTTTTATGCCTGCCTTTGAATATCGAAAGACGCCTTTGATCCCCACGCCTATAAAGCACATCCACAAGAATCAGAAACTAAACTCTCAAGTGAAACTTCCACCATTAAAAAAATGAAAACTTTCTCAAACCCCAAAACACTGTAAAATACAAACTCACCCAGAGCTTTTGGATTGAATACCCATTTTCCGGCACATCTGGTGAATTACGCCACGTTCATTATTTGAAAGATTATGCTCAAACGTGTAAACTACAAAAACGCAAAAACACTTCAATCAATACTAATTAAAAAAAAAGGCAGCGCATTTTCAATCGAACAGGGTAAAACATTCGCAATTAGAGAGCTTTATCTAATCATATCATTTCAGGAAAGAATCTGTGAGAAAGGAAATAAATTTAGAATCGAAAGAAGACTTGGTTTCCCGGAGCAAAACTAACCATCGTTCCCGGAGGCTCGAAAGTCGTCGATGACCTTAGACGCCCAAATCCTAGTAGCTTCGACGGAAGTTGGCTTCCCTGCATTATCAGACCTGAACCTCTTCTTCCCCATAGCTTAACTAGGGTTTTCTCTGTCTCTGTCTCTCTGTCTCGCAAAGCGGAGAAACTGTACGGCTTCCAAGTGAGATGCAAGGAGGATCCTGTTTTCGATGAGTTTCTTTATTCCCCTTTCCAAAGTTTGCTTGCAATATAAACCGCCTTCTTCCTCTTTTTTTGTTTACATGTTTATAAACCAAAAGTAGAAATAAGAAAATAATTGCTTCGCCGTAGAGATGGAGATGCTCTAAAATTTAGGCCCACTTATTCTTGAGGCCCATTACTTGCGCTCACCAAAACCATAGCAAAATCTTTCGCCATTTTACGAAGAAAAAAAACTTTTACGATAATTCGAAAAGTTATTTATGTACTTAACACATTTTTAGTAATTTAGACTGTTTGGATCTTCATCAACAATATGATCTCTGTTTTCAGATTCAGAATCATAAACTCTTAAATAGTTTCTAAAAAATCCACATTGAAATATGCAAAGCAAGATTGCATTCCTATTTTGGAAACGAGGCGAAATTTCGCTTTCCATTTTAAGTGGATGAATTCACGTTCATTATAAATTTCTAGATTTTGTAAGAATTTCTTTTGTCATTTTGCTAGTATTTTTTTTGGTCGCGTGTCATTTTGCTAGAATTTGTTCTTCCATTATTGTTACAAAAAAATATATTATTGTTGAATTAATTGACTCAGAAATCTCTAGATCGAAAACAAAATATTTACACGAAAAAAAAGAAAACAAAAAAACAAATATATTTGTAAACGAACGAACAAGATTAACCCACGGTGTCATCACACGCGCCCGCGAGTGGAAAAACGTACGAAATTAATAAAATCTTCGATATCTCTCTGATACCATTTCAAATCGAGAAAGCTCACACATTCACCTGATTGATTCCCTCGTAAGACCTTTGGGATTTCAAATTTGAAAACAAAAGACTCAGACCCACCACCATCTCTCTCTCTCTCTCTCTCTCTCTCTGCTTTCCCTATCTTTCTCGGGAAAATCCCTGTAGGTTCCTCCATCGCTATTCCTTTTTACCACCAATAAATTTCAAATAATGCTCATATGAGAACGCTTGTGTATTGAAGCCCCAAATATATATATATATATATATATTCGCGGTGCAGATTTCTCCTCGAGATCGGGCTGTAGAGCTATGGGTTGTCTCTTCGGCTGCTTCCGTGCCAGAGATAAGAAATCGACTATTGATTCCGTCTCTCAACCTTCCAAAGTAATTCTCTCGATTCCGTGTTTTCCAGATCTTTTTTTTTATCTTTGAGATTTAGTGTCAAAATCAGCTGTTTCAATTCTCCGAAGTGGAATCGAATGTAAACGTTTCTGTTTCTGGTGTTAATCTTCGTCAAATTGTTAGGCAATTGAGCTGGATTTAGTGGAAATCGCTTGGTGTTAACATCTGTTTCTTTCTAATGATTTCAGAGAGGTCAGCAGCATGAATCGAAGAATCGTTTGTCAGCCTTGTTTCTTTCTGAAGGTATTAAACCTCTTCTTCGATGAATAGTTCTAATGATTCGAAATCGGAAGAAGGTCTTACTTGTTTTTTTTTCTTTTTTTTAATAGAGAAAGTAGATGCTTCGCCTTGTCATGATAGAGATGGATCTGGTGTTGGTTCTATGCATATTGACAAAGGTCTCAAGGATGAGGTATGTTAATGTCAAATCTCACCTAATAATCGTGTGATTCTAATCACTGTTAGCTTCCATGTGTTGCGGAATTAGAAGAAGGTTCTATGTTAGACTCTAGAGCTTTGTTTCAATCAGGAATGCATTCTCATTTCGCAGCCTTTTGTTCTATTTTATTGGGGTTTAGAACTCATCTTCCTGCATAGATGCTCAGCTAAAAATGTAGCTTGTGAACCCGTGCATCATGCTTACTTGCATTAGTGTCTTCATCTTTACTTAGGAAATTATCTGCAATTTCGTGTGACCTCTCCTGAAGTTAGAAAATCTTGGTTGGACCTTGGAGACACTCTTTTTTTTTTTTTATCAATAGAATTTGATTGATTGCTGGTTTCTTCAAAATGGGAGCCTGACCTTCTTGGATTATCCTGTGGAGTTTCAGGCTCAGTTTCTTAAAGCTTGTGGCACAACACCAGCGACACCGATTGAACTTAGGAAAGCATCCGAAAAACTGGAAACTCCTCGACGTGGAAAACATTTGACATCTTCTCAGTTTCATTCCTGGAACTCCAACAACTCTGGTGAGAAAACAGATGAATCCTGTGAAGAGGTTTCAGAGCAAACGCCGAGCAGGTGAAGTTTTAGATGTTACTTTTTCTTAACAAAACTCTTTTTAAACGGAGCGTTTGAAACGTGAAACTGGCATATCGCAACATGATTCTTACATCAAGAAAGAAGCTCTACCGGTTTCATTGAACTGGAATTTACTCTTTTTTCATTCATTTGTCAATGTCAGTTGCATTACCGATGCCCACAACAGTGCAACGATCTCTACTGGATATAGTGATGCTGGTGAAGAAAGCCAAGAAAGCGTTGGTACTGCGTTCAGGGATGGGGTGGATAGAGCCAGTAAGATGCCACTCACAGCTGGAAACATTACGGGAAAGAGAAAGACAGTGCGGTTTGAATGTGATTTTGATCAATCTAGCTCTTCCAAGAAACATGAGATGGCTGGAAAAATTAATTTCTCAGCAGCCTTATATAATCCGACCTCACTGAACCAATCTGATGAGATTCAAACTCAAACTCCTGGAACTATCTCTCCTGCAAATATGGAATCAGCAGTAAGGGGGAGACCAAGAATCAGTTCGCAGTTTGTGCATTCAGCTTCCAATATAACTGAAAACGCCTCCATATGTAACCTCCCTGAAGATTCAGATGAGAGCGTAGACCAATGTAAAGTACAGGCTTGCAGAGAGAAGACAGAAAATGAAACTCCCACATCAGCAACTTGTGAGGGAAAGTCGGAAGAGAGTACAGATGAAAATAGTAAGATTCTTGGACTCAGAGTGAAGCAGAGTGAAGAGAAGAGTAACAAAAACATGGCGGCTTTATCCACCGTAACCTCAGGGGACAGGCCTATCATTGGAATGGTTGCAGCTCACTGGAATGAGAAAGAGCAAACTCATATCTCACCTAAATGGTGGGATGGTAATGGGATACCAAACTCTACAAACAAGTACAAAGAGGTAACTTTCCTGTTTTTTTTTTTTTCAAAATCTAAAAGGCTTCTTCACATTTTTCCTCTCATTTATAATATAAGATTGGAATTTACTTCTCTTGATTCAGGATCAGAAAGTGAGTTGGCACGCAACACCTTTCGAGGAGAGATTGGAGAAAGCACTTTCAGAAGAAAGTGGTCAAGGTTTCATCCCTTCAAGGTATATGTTCTTCTCCTTTCCTTACCTTAAGCATATGTGCAACTCGAAATGAAACTGTATTTTGGAGATTGATGATGTGTTATGCAGGAAAACTGGAATAAAGGAAGAGGCTGAAAGGGACAAAGCTATATCACAAATGCATCATTCAGCGCAATCCACGTCGATCGTTTCCTTTTGAGCATGTTGTAGTGTCTATTTGAGACGGTACTGGCTTGTCGTACAGAGCAAAAACAACACTTGATCTATGGTTATCATGACTCATGAGTATTATGATGCGTAGAAGAATCTATATAGCAAAAGAAAAAAGAAAAAAGAATATAAACGTGGTTCATGATTTCGTGACAGAACGGTTCTTTGACTTCTTCTGTAAAGTGGGCCTCACTGATAGGAAATTCGAAACGCTTGGTGTAGTGTGGACCTTACAATAATTACGAATACTGACATATCTCCGTGATATACAGTATGACTTTTTTTTTGTCTTCTTCAATCTTCCAGGATTTTATCAGATAGCCATGTATATGTGTGTGTGAATGATATATTGGAAAGTTTTGTGTAGTTTTTTTATCGCTTGATGAGAAACACAGATGGACATCATCTCAGGACAAGCTCTCTTCTTCTTGTTTTGCTTTATCTTATCATGTTTCCTAATCTTCACCACCACAAGATCTCGACTGAGCTATCGTGGTGCCACTCTACTGCCTCCAGGACCTCCACGGTTACCGATCATCGGAAACATTCACCTAGTCGGAGAATACCCACATCGCTCATTCGCCCACCTCTCGAAAACTTATGGACCAATCATGAGTCTTAAGCTTGGAAGTTTAAACACAGTGGTCATAGCTTCACCAGAAGCTGCAAGAGAGGTTCTAAGAACACACGACCAAATCTTGTCTGGTCGTAAGTCCACGAACTCGGTACGATCCATCAATCACCATGAGGTTTCCGTCGCCTGGCTTTCTCCGTCCACTAGTCTTTGGAGGTGTGTAGTCACTATCGCTTTTCTATAATTCTACGATTTTTCTTATCACAAGATTTGCTACTAGCTAGAGACCCAATCGTTTCAGATGCAAATAGTTGCATGTTCTTACCAAAATATCTTATTAAAAAAAACACATAAATAACTAGTTGTAAATTAGAAACACAAACGAGAAGGCATGCTGTTTTTGTTTTTGTGTTTGTGTTTATTTGCCCTTTAAAATACTGTGTTTTTTTATAAACACAAAATTACTAGATTCAAACGCAAACCTAATTTTTCTTTCCATGCGTATGTTTACAATTTTCAAATAATTGTTTTTTTTTTGGTAAAATCAAATGATTGTTTGTACCGAAAATTTGTGTTTATTTGAAGTAGACGTTATAACTAACCTTTAAACTAAAATACAAACGCAACAAAGACTCCAAATCCGTAATGTATCGTTTGCTATGTTCTGTTTCAGGCTGTTGAGAAAACTTTCGGTGACTCAGCTATTCTCGCCGCAACGTATCGAAGCCACCAAAGCTCTGCGGATGAGGGCGGTGCAAGAGCTTGTGAGCTCTATAAGTGAAAGCAGCGACAGAGAAGAAGCTGTTGATATTTCTCGTGTATCCTTCATCACAGTTCTTAATATCATATCGAACATTCTGTTTTCGGTCGATCTGGGCAGCTACGACTCGAAGAAGTCTATAAATGAGTTTCAGGACACGGTCTTTGGTGTCATGGAAGTTGTTGGGAAACCAGACGCTGCTAACTACTTTCCATTTCTGGGGTTTCTTGATCTTCAAGGTAATAAGAAGACTATGAAGGTTTGCTGTGAGAGGTTGTTTAGGGTTTTTCGTGGGTTCATCGATGCTAAAATAGCAGAGAGATCATCACAGACTAACCCGAACGATGCGCCAAACAACGATCTCGTGGACGCGCTTCTCGATTTCACCGAAGGAGATGAAGCAGAACTCGATGTTAACGTTATTGAACACTTTCTCTTGGTAAGTATTACCTTAACTAGGAATAGGATAATCTGCGGTATATTAAAGATTAAAACAGAAATTTATTTAAAATAATTATATGAAAAAAGTATATAATAAAAAAATATAAACATTTAAAATAACTTATAATTATTATAAAAATGATATTTTGTGTTTTTTTAGTTATTATATTGTTAATTAAGAAGTAAATTGGGCTCTTGTTGAGAGTTATAATGATTGATTACTATTTACTCTTTATATGAAAAAACTTTATTTACTCTTAATGAAATTAACAAATTAATATAATCTAATTTTTAATTAATTTTCTTTTTTTAAATCTAAATTTTCAAATTCGAGTTTATATCATAAAAAGGTAACTAATATAAATCACAAAAATTGGTCCTAATTATTTCCTTAAATTAATTTTAATCTGATTATTTAACTTACTAATATTTTTGACTAACCTAATTGATTTATACGGTCACAAGCAAAACTTTAAATCCCTTAAATCTTTTTAAAACTCTATATATATATATATATTAATGTTAAGTTTATATGAAACAAAGATTCTTTTGTTTTGGTCATTTTGGATTGCTATGTTCTTTTATTAATACAAACTTTGAATTTCATTAATCTTAATCTGCTAATTTACACAAAAAGAAGAGAATTATTTATCATATTTGATAAATACAATAAAACAACAAAACATACATATAATTTTTTATCGGATAATATAAAAGATATTAGAAAATAAGATATAAATAATATATTTTGCTTTATCATAAAAAATAATATACGCATGAGAATTATATTTATTTTAAATATATTAATTTTGATTTCGAATAATTATAAATCTGATTTCTTTTATCTATAAATAATTAATGTTATTACTTTAAAAAAAACTAATCAATTCCCGCATAAGATGCAGAAAACATCTAGTTAACAATGAAAATGTACAAAATAATTATGATAAAAATATGCAAATATTTACAAAATTTTCTAGGATTATTATTATTAATTATTAATAGAAAAAATAAAAAAACTGAAAAGTAATAAGATATACAACTTTTTAAGAGTGCTAAAAAAGGTTTATATGAAAATATACAATAAAAATATATAATATAAATATACGATCTTCTAATTATATAATTATTTAAAAATTATATAATTTATTTGAAATAATTATAAGATTTATTAAATTTTTAAGATGGAATCATATTATGTATACGTGGAATCAGAATGTCGAGCTTACCCATGTGTTGTTTGTATGTGGTAGGACCTATTTACAGCGGGCACCGACACAAACTCTAGTACCGTGGAATGGGTAATGGCAGTTACTTCGCAGCCCTAAATCGATGGAGAAAACTCAAGCAGAGATCGAGCATGTGATAGGTCAAAACGGTATTGTTCAAGAGTCCGATATCTCAAAACTGCCGTATTTACAAGCGGTTGTGAAAGAAACTTTCCGTTTGCATCCGCCTGTTCCGCTTCTCCTTCCACGAAAAGCCGAAGCTGACGTGGAGGTTCTTGGGTTCATGGTGCCTAAAGACACTCAGGTTTTGGTGAATGTGTGGGCCATAGGACGAGACCCGAGCGCTTGGGAGAATCCAACGCAGTTCGAGCCAGAGAGGTTTTTGGGGAACGACATGGACGTGAGAGGTAGAGATTATGAGCTGACACCATTTGGAGCCGGACGGAGAATATGCCCGGGATTGCCTTTGGCTATGAGGACAGTTACTCTCAAGCTCTTCTTTACTTCTTTGACTGGAAGCTTCCAAACGGCGTCGTTTCTGAGGACTTGGACATGGACGAGTCCTTTGGTCTCACATTGCATAAAACAAATCCGTTAGACCACCTCCATAGGTTCTCATTATATTATTTAATTATTAAAATATTCAAAATAATGATAAAAAAGGAAAGAGAGAGAAAAATAATAGTAAAAAAAGAAAAAAGGAGAGAGATAGTCTCTGAAATCAGATACTTTAGAACCGGGTTTCATTTTAAAAAATTAGGTGTCATCATTTAATTTGCCTAATCCTTTAATATTTAAAGTTAAATTATTTTATTAAATTATATTAATTTAATATGTTAAACTACTCAATTTAAGAGTTTTTAGTGTTGGAGGTGCTCTTACATGCCGTTCCCATCAAGAAACGCTCCATCAGTTCATCATTGTTTGTATATTTTCAGAATTAATGACCTTATATGACTTAAATAAAATAAAAACAATATCAAAAGCTCTACTTATTGCCAAAAATGAGTTCTTTTTCTCTTGAGGTAATGGCGTGAAAGAGCTAAAGGCATACCATATCAATTGTTTAGATACTAGCCAATGCGGACAGCTAAGGAGTAGCCAAGATTACAACTTGCTATATTTGTTTGGGTGTGCCACAAGCTTCTTTCATAGCGTACAGAACAATCAAGTAAAAACCCTAGAAAAGTTTGGGATAGTATGTTGTAAACTCCAAAGCTTTGTTATGAGATCTTGAATTGACGCAACACATATTTCCCATCAAGTCCTCTCGCTATGAAATGGCTCGTGTACTCACTGACGGTAGTGTCTCTATACATTGGAAGATTTTGTTCAGACAAAAGCTCTTGTATCGGTCCATATACTCGCAAACTCGGTAAAGGATGCACGAAGAAAGACGCGACCGAAATGCGGGGCTCTTCACCTCTATTAGCCAAAACTCTATGCTCCACACTCAAAAACTTGTCATTCGTCATAAGCTGTAAAATCAAAGTTCACACAAATGAATATGTACAATGTACTTGTATCGAACGGTTTATTAATTCATGTCACAATTACAAATACCTGTAAGAGATCTCCGAGGTTAACGAGAAGAGCTCCAGGGACAGGAGGAACATCAACCCAGTAACCATTCTGATGAACTTGAAGCCCACCAATGTGATCTTGAAGAAGAATAGTGAGAAAAGATCTGTCTGAATGCGGACTTGTGCCGAAAGTTAGATCAGGCTCAGGACAAGGCGGGTAGTAATGAGAGAGCATCAATAAACCTCTTGTGCAATCCAAGTCTTTCAAGTGATTAGGTTTCAGCCCTAAGGCTTCTGATAAAAGCTCAAAGATGAACTCCCCTAATTTCATCACTCTCTCAGAATACTCCAACATGATTTCCCTAAAACAAACACATCAATCAAAACTATGACGGCAGACGAAGTTTGGATCTTTAGACTGACGCAAGACCACTAAGTTAGTAATTCTTTTCTATAGAAATAAGAAATAAAGTGAAATCGAATCTTTCGTACCGACAAATCTCTGGTAACTCCTCTGCCTTTGGAGCATCAGGAGCCATAAAACAACTTAAAGTATCTCTCCAGTTGGCAGATTGAGAGCTATAGAGATCGAAATTGGTTCTATAAGTAACCTTTCTGGAACTATCTCGGCTGTAGAACTCTTTCCTCACTTCTGGATCTTGCTCGTGAAACCCACGAATCCCATCTTTCATCTTCTCCGTGACATCAATCGGAATCCCATGGTTTATCGCCTGAAAAAACCCGAATTTTTCAACCGCTTCTTTAACCTTAGCAACCACGCTCTCTCGCGTGACCGTGGATTCGAACACGCCACCTCCGAGATCAATGGTTGGGATTAACATCGTTGAGGAGGAAAGTGGTGGATTTGGTTGGTTTGTGGTCAAAATGAGGTGCGGGTGGTGGAAAATACGAGGGATCTCTGTGATTCCGGCGGCGACGAGACCCTTCACTCCGATTTTCGTCTCGTCGAATGCTTTTACCTCATTAGCACGATCGTACTTCGCTTCCATCTTCTTCTTTATCTCGTGTGTTCAGAAACAGAACAAAGAGACCAAACTTTTTAAGAGTTGTTGCCTTTTTCTTCGAATGAATTTGATATCACTCTGTGTATATATATAATTTTAATACTCAAGAGACTCAAGTTCGTGAATTTACTCAATCACCCCCTAAGAAAATTTACTGCATGCAAACTTGTACGTAAGTGTTTTTTTTTTTTAAGATTACGTAAGTTTTTGTTTCTATTAGGAAAAATATATACATTTTCGGTTAAATTATTCTGTTTCAGTTTAACTATCTATTTTATGTAATTATAACTTTTTGTAAACTTTAGTATGAGAAAAAAATATTTTTCTAATATTTAATATAAAGATTCACTAGGGTTGAATACTTCTGTCACTTTGTCTGTGTATATGGGGGATCAGCCACTTTACCTTGTGATTTTGATTTTGTTGTCTACAGTTACCTTTTTATTATTTTGAGTTTCTAAATTTTGAATCCGTGGCCTTTTACTGTAAAAAAGAAGAAGAAAATACGTGGCCTTTGCACTTCATAAAAGGTTGGATTGAATTGTCATTTGTTATAAAAATGACTAAACCAATAAAATAATAGTTACCTACTTAATGCACATGTCAAAATCAAAATCGTTTAGTTTTTTTTTTTAAATGATCTGGTAGGTGAAATTTATAATTTATAATTTATATCAGCGTATCTTGAGAGCCGTGCATGCATCTGCCCCGTGATTTTTTTTTTTTTTAGTAAAATGTAAAATTTTGCCCCCATGATCAATTATTTTTTCTTTGAGCAAATTTGTTTTGGAGGCGATCTAGCCAAAATTCCCCCACTGGTTTTTGAATGGATGAGTCAAAAAGTTTCTGGATCCGCCATTTTGTTTGTTTCGAGATAGTCAGTGAAGAGTGATAACTAATGACAAAAGGCATAACTATATTTCTTTTGTTATTGCTGATTTAGCAACACATTCTTATGATAGTGATACATTTTGGTAAAAAGTTTATATTTATTTTACCGTGGCACATTTTATTGATATATCCTTAAAATTTTCATCATTTAGAAACTTTTGTTTCCTCCTATTCCACCGTTTACCCAAATAAAACTGAGGATCTGAGAAATAGAGAAACAAGTTGTGCAAGTTACAACTTACAAGTTTTCGGAAAGTTTTAGTTAGAGCATCAAGCATTAGAGAGTTGAGGAGAGAAGCTCTTAAAATAAATTTATTATTATTTAACAAAAAAAAATATAACAAATCGCGTTACCGTAGAAACGTTTCTATAGCTTTTGTGAAGAGAATCGATTCTGGGTATCAGTTTTGCCACGTTATTTTTTTATTTTCTTTAGAACTCATCTAAAACTTACCATTACAGATGCTTTGAGCTCTCCAAATAAAAACTATTAACCTTTGTATAAATTAGGTTTATAACTCGTAGCGAATTTGTATTAATAGTTTATTTTATTTTTTTAAAAGTATTATCTTATAAATTATCAAAACTATAATAGATTTATATAAAAAATATTTTAATAAGAGGAATTAAAATATAATGTGTAGTTTTCTCCTATTTTTATTTATAAAGTTTTAAATTTTATTATGTGAAATAATAACAATAACACCTATCAAATTATCTAACTTTGACATACACATACGTTTGATTTAGAAAAATATTTTTTTGCTAAGATCTTTGTATTTTTTTTTGGTTTTCATAGGATTTTTACAGTTCTTTTTTCTTTAAAATTTATGTGTTTAAATATTTAGTTTTTTTAATTAAATGTGATGTTGTGTACATATGCATTTGTAATCTATGATTCATGTTGATTCGCATTTAGTTTTGTTAAGAAGTTGCAATGATCATGCAAAACCATTTTTTTCTTCTTCATTAGGTCATCCATGAGTTTTAGCTTATATCTTTATTCAGTTTTCAATGAGATCTATTTTTTGCAGTCTAATATTTGATAACTTTAGTTTTTATACTTGTAGGATCGGCGTTGTGGAGTCTTCACATTATTTTTCACAATTTTTATCTTTTGTGTGCAATATGTATGCTTTGATTTGAATATTTTATCTACAAATACCAATTTGAGTTTGATTCTTAACTCTCATGTATTTTATTATTTAAATAGAATTTTAGAACGTGATACTCATATGTTATTAATGTTGGTTCAAATATAAGTAGTGATTATGTATAAAAATTATATTTTAGAACTTGTTAAATTTTGAATGCAAAGTTATTTATGTTGTGTTTTTCTCTGTTAATTTTTAAAATCTGAAACACCCAGTGTATTAATCATTGTATCTTTTACTTATGTAAACCTATTGCAACTTCAGATAGTTATCTATTGTTAAATTATGAATTTTTTGAAACTAATTTCAAATTAGTTTTGTTATATACTTTACATCTTTTGATAGTAATTTTATATTTTATTTTAATTTACATAATTTATTTTTGCATGTTTGATGTACTTAGGACTTATATTTGTTTTTATTAAGCTCTTTTGTTGTTTTTAACAAAATAGGTAACATAGACATCAAGTTAATTTCTTTTATACGAATATTTTTTCTTTGTTAAATTTGTTTTTATATTAATTTTATTTTAGTTATAATGCTCATTTAACATGTTTTAACTGTTCAATTTAATTTTTTATGAACTTTTCTCAAAATCTTATAGCATCATTTTTTTGGTTAAGATTTTTCTGTTGATTATTAAAAATGGTAGCCCAAATATCAAGTTAGTTAATTATAACATGTTGAAAGCTAAAAAACATAGATATTTATAAAGTGTTATAAAAAATGTTATAAATGTTTATGTTTTTATAACATTTATAAAATTTATAAAAAAAATTTGAAACATAAATTTATAATATATTGAAAGCTAAAAAAACTTTTTATAAAAACCTGTTTAATTTCTCATTATATCATAATAGCCTTAAAACAATTAGATTTAATATTTAAAAAATTCACAACAGAGAATTAAAGTATGGCAGATATATGCATGAGAGTGTACTTACCATGTTAAATAGTCAGTAGTTGCTTTAACATTTTTATCGGAAAAAACATAAACATAATCATAAATATTTATAAATTTTATAAATGTTATAATTTATGTTTCAAAGATATAACTTTTATTTCAACATGATAAATTATATTTTAATTTTTATATCATCCAAATCCATTTCTTAGAACTTGGTATGAAATGCTGATATAATTTTTAAACAAATATTTATTTGGATAAAATATAAAATTATAGCATGAATAAATAATTTGTCATTGTATATTATCAATCGACTTACTACCGGGATAAAATAGTGTAATTAATATTATTTTCACATTGGCAAACTATTATTAGAAATTTGTAAGCCTTATTTAACGTGTAATTTTTTTATTGTTTTCATAGACTTTGAGCCACCTACTACAATATTCTTCTTCCTCCGTCTCTCGATATTCTCATGTTATTCTCATGGTCTCCATATGCGCTCTTTAATTTCAAATTAAGTTCATTTTAATAATTTTTTTATACTTTACCTCTTTTGATAGTAATTTTATATTTTATTTTAATTTATATATTTTTTATATACTTGATATACTTATGACTTATTCTTATTTTACTAAGCTCTTTTGTTATTGATGTTCAAAATATGTAGCATAGACATCAAGTTAATTTCTTTTATACGCGTGTTTTTTTGTTAAATTTACTTTTATATTAATTTTCAATTTAATTTCTTTGTTTTAGATATTAAGTTAAATTGCTTTTATGATATTGATTTTGTTTAGTTAGTTTAACTCTTTTGACATTAAATTTACATTTAAATTTGAAAGATTCTATATTTTTGTTTTTTTTAACATAATTTTCTTCTCTATTTGTTACTTAAGCTTTTTATTATGATTTTACCACCTATAAAACAAAATTAATGTTTTTATTTTTATTTTTTGTCAATTAATTTAGAAGTTAGAAATTTTTTTTATGTATTATAAGTTTTAGCTTTTACGTTATTGATTTTTTTGTTAGGTTAACTCTTTTGACATTAAATTTCCATGTAATTTTGAAGGATACTATATTTTTATTTTTTTAACACTAATTTCTTTTCTATTTGTTACTTAAGGTTTTTATTTTGATTTTTCCATATATAAAACGAAATTAATGTTTTTAAAAAATAGGAATTAATTTTGTAATGTTTTAATCAAATTTAACATTTTTATGTTTAATAAAAAGCGCTGATGTGAACCAATCATATTGAGTTTCTTCATCTTAATCATACTTAATATTTTTGTGATTAATGAAAAACGATGATGTGGACCAATCTGACTGAGTTTCTTCGTCCTATGTGGACGTCTTCAATGCACTATGCCATCAACTTTTATATATTACCAGGCTTTTAACTCGCGCATAGCGCGATTCTGTATTAATAATTTGGTTTAATTTTTTGGCTAATATCTTTCAAATTATAAAAACTATAGTATATTTTTAGAAGTTTTATTTTATATAAAAAAATAAAACATAATATGCAGTATTTTCTATTTTTGTTTCTAAAATTATAATTCTTATTAAGTAAAATCATAGTAATGACACCTAACAAATTATCCAACTTTGATGTGCATATGTTTGATTTAGAAAATGATTTCCTTACTAAATTTTTGGTCTTTTGTTTTGTATCCTTAGGATTTCTATGGTTCTTTTTTAAAAAAGTTTATATGTTTAAATATATAGTTTCTTTACTAAATGTCTCACTAATGTTATGTACATATACATATATAATATATGATCTATGTTGATTCAGATTTACTTTTGTTAGTAAGCTACACTAATCGTGTAAACCTGCTTTTTGCTTCTCCACCAGATCTTCTACGAATTTTAGGTTATATCTCTATTCAGTTTATAAGATCTGTTTTATTTGCAGTCAATAATTTGCTAATATTTGTTATTAAACATGTAAAATGATGTAGAGACTTCACATTATCACTGTTTTTTTTTTATCTTTTGTGTGTTTATTCATGTTTTGATTTGAATATTTTATCTTTATATATTCTCATTTGAATTTGATTCATAACTTTGTCATATTATATTATTTAAATAAAATGTT